AAGAAGCCACAGGAGAAGCCGAAACCACCGAAGCCACAGGAGAAGCCAAGGCCAAGGGCAAAGGAAAGACTGAGGCACCCAACGGTTCAGGAAAAGACGAAGCCGCAGGAGAAGCCGAAACCACCGAAGCCACAGGAGAAGCCACGCCAAAGGGCAAAGGAAAGGCGAAGTCGCCGTCCAAAGGGGCGGCTCAGGCCGAGGATGAAGACAAAGCATCTTCCCCCCCCTAGAGACGCCAAAAGCGGGCAAAGGAAAGGGCCACGGAGCAACCGAAACCCCGCAAGAGTCTGCTGATGCCGTCAAAAGAAAGCTTACCTGGTCAGATCAGACGAACTCAAGGGGCAGCACCGCATCCGCAGATCATGTTGACTGAGTGCATGTCTTGTATGTGTGCATATATATCCATGGTCTGTATTTATCCAAGGCAACCTGTCAACTCCCTCGTCGAACGGGAAACGCCCTAGACCCGACGATGATGTGAACACACCCGAGTGCCTTGCCAGCATACATTACTGTGAACGAGTTTAGGATACAGGATTTCGGAAAGTGATTTGCTCCCCCCTAAAACCGAAGGACAAAACCCAAAACCTAGAAAGCCGTATTCCGATCCAAGCCTATCGGCCTACATCCCAGGATTTTCTAAGGAAACAAGCATACCAATATGAAGCCCAAGGCTCGAAAACCATATAAGCCTGTACGATCCCCGAGACCTAAACCCTACAGTCCTACAGGAGCACTCCCAATCCTAAACCCCAAACCCCGAACCCGGTTCCCTATAATCCCCAAGCTTAAAAACCCTCCTCAGGCCTCCTGCACAGACGCCCTCGTCGCAGCACCTCGCACCAGCTGCTACGAAGCTGCAGCAGTTTCTGAATGTTGAGAAGCCATGCAGTCTGACCCTGGGCCTTCTTTTGGATTATGCTTCTAGTAAGGTGCAGAAGCTCACAGCAGAGAAGATCGAACAAATTTTGGAGATGCTGGAGCCTGGTCAGTTGGACTTGCCTACCAGGAAGCGACTGAACGAAGCTATGAGAAGGCGGTTCGAAACTGCAGATGGACCGGCACCCCAACCCGACCTAATCCCCAAACCCTAAACCCCAAACCCTAAACCCTATACCCTAAACCCTATACCCTTAAGTTATCCCAAAAGAGAAGCCCGACATGCTTTGGCAGGACTGAAGCCAGGACTGCTTGAGAAATGGAAAGCCACCAAAGATCCGACCGAAAAGTAGATGGCTCTGTTGCTTTATAGCATCTACACAGTGATAAAATAGCCACTTGTCCGCACTGCTGAGGTTTGCCTTCTTGAAGGCTTTCGTGCAGCACAAAGACATGCCCGACATCGAGGTCGAGACGTTCTATATTGAGACAACCAGCTGCACTCAATCTTCCCGTGTAGATCGTATATATCACTCGCGACTGCATGTGCACGTATGCTAAGGAAGGACAAACAAACCAATAAAGAGAATTGGATCTCTTTGCCGCTCAGCGACCTCCGGAATATGTACACATCAGCTGCCCAGCAAAAGTTTCTCGAGGAGCAGATAGTCGCCAGTCGGGGCCCTCGTATTCGCACCATGATGATCGTTGTTTTGATGCTCAAGCTTTGATTCTGTTTGGGTGCTAAGAACAACGTGGCACGGCTCACCCACAGGACCACCGTTCGCATCGTGTCATCCATGCATATGTCAAAGTTGGCTTTGCGAGGATCCGAAGAATCCCGAAATGAGGATTTACACCGTCTTCCGTGACATCAAGGATACCAGCCCTTTGACTCTAAATTGTCAGTCAATCATCCAAACCTTTTACAATTATCTGAGGGCAATAACCCTAAACCCCGAACCCTACACCCATCCTCGACCCCTACCTCCCGGAACCTGACCCCTAAACCCTATAACCAGCCTGAACCCCCACGACCCAATCCTTCAACGAAGCCTTCAATTAAGGTGCCAAGTCCAAGGAGGTTGGCACGAAAACCTTCGGAAGAGCCAAGTTGCCGCCCAACAAGGCTGCCCGAGCAGCCTTTGCCGAGACCATGCAGAACAAGGCTGATTCGTTCGGCAGCAGTTGGAACAGTGTCGGAGAAGCCGGGAAGAGTGGTGGTAAGGGAGGTGGTAAAGGTAAAGGAGAAAATGGAAAAGGGAAGAGCCAGAAGGACTTGCTCATATTCTCTGTCTCTCTCCATCACATGCTTATAATCCATCTATTTAACAAAACCTTAAACCCTAAATACTAAACCCTGAACCCTCAACCCTAAAGCCTAAAAGCCGCAGGAAATCACGCTTGAAGAAAAGGAGAAAAAGGATTTCCAACGAGACTTGCAGCAGTTTCTCGCTCGAAGTACTTTCCGAAAACTAGAATGGATCCTCAGTGCTTGCCATGAGGCTTCGAAATTTGGGCGACAAGGCCCTCACTGCCGCCACGAACCTCAAGTCTACCGGGCTGAAGCGACAGGAGGCAAAGCCAGCAGTGCCTAAACCCTAAACCCTAAACTTATAAACCCTAAACCCAAAACCCTAAACCCTAAACTTAGAAACCCAAAACCCAAAACCCCAAACCCTAAACTTATAAACCCTAAACCCTAAACCCCTAAACTTAGAAACCCTAAACCCAAAACCCAAAACCCTAAACCCTAAAACCGAAACTTATAAACCCTAAACCCAAAACCCAAAAGTCTAAACCCTAAACTTATATATAAACCCTAAACCCAAAACCCAAAACCCCTAAACTTAGAAACCGTAAACCCAAAACCCAAAACCCTAAACCCTAAAACCGAAACTTATAAACCCTAAACCCAAAACCCAAAAGTCTAAACCCTAAACTTATAAACCATAAACCCTAAACCCTAAACCCAAAACCCAAAACCCAAAAGCCTAAACTTATAAACCCTAAACCCTAGAACCAAAACTCTAAACCCTAAACCCTAAAGCCCCAAACCTGTCGTCCACGCGAGGCTGACATCAAGCATATGGGGGAAGTGAATGTCCAGTGCTACAGCATTCTGAAAGAGCTTCTTGCCACGTTTTTTTTCATGGATTTCATGCACTTTTGGGGCTTGGGGGTTCTGGGTCTCGATGCTTTAGCCTGCTTTCCCAGGTGCAACTCAATCCTCTTCTCGCCCGAGCCACTGTCCAAAGCCAGAGAGTTCCTGGACAGTAAAGCCCATCAGCTTGAGGCATCGGTTTTGAAATTGTAGGCCTATAGGGTTTAGGGTTTAGAGTTTTAAAGGTTTAGGGTGGATCCAGGGTTTGCTGCTCCCCTCCAGGAATATGCAAAGGATGTGGCACATGCCGAGGGTGTGTTCCAGCGTTTCGAGCGACGTGTCTCAGCTTAACGATAGTATTGTTGCTTGCACATGCGACATTCTGGTTTCTACGCCACTATTCGCACACTCTGCTTGATCAGGCAAGGCTGCTGAGAAGCGAAAAAGGGAAAAGGAAGAGCTCAAGAAGAAGGCGACTGCAGATTGCCTGGAAAGTCAGGCAGGCTCTGCAGAGCAAGAAGATTGGCCAGATGAGGAGAATGAAGTGGATGATGATGATGACAAGCATGAAGAAGAGTGGGCCGATGATGGTCAGGAATATGATGATGATGATGATCATGAGGAGCCCCCCACAAAAAAGGCCCGGGCCTGATCCGCCGCCGATCTTTTCCTGGCATAAGTGCAGCGAGCACAATGTGCCTCGGCTGGGGTGGGGTGGCGATCCACCGGACTGCTCGAGTGGGTTTGCATGTGTAATGTACCGAGCTATAGAATCCTTAGTCTCAAACACACTCCTTAAGCCTTTAAGCTATACACGGGGTGCCCTGCATGCAGCCTGCTGTAGAAGCAGTCTGAAAGAGATTGCCGGTAGCATTTACATGTGTATGGAAGAGCGACTCGGGGTGCAAAATGATCTCATGACAAGCTTTGTCCGGAGCAGCAATACATTGCAATTGACACACGTTTTTGTTGCTGATCGCAGACCCCAGCCCTCACGCTGCCGTGGTTCGGGATACAAAGCTTGCAACTTCTTATTTGGAGCCCCAAGCCCCCTATGGAACCCTAGCCTAGCCAAACACATTAATACTTTCGTATTGAGCTTAAACCCTGGCCTCTGCCCTAAACCCTAAACCCAAATCCCGAACCCTTAAACTCCGAAGGCCTAGAGCCCTTAAATCCCACCCATACCAAACCAAATCCTTTAGCCCGAAATCTTGATCCCCATATTTACAAGCCCCGATATCCCGAAACACGAGAAGCAAAGCTCCAAAGCCCGAAACCCTACATCCTGTAAGTCTTCTGTCAAGAGTCAGACTTCAGTATGTATGAAAGCCAATGGCCACTGCCTCGGCCGGTGCATGGGTCACAGGATACATTCAGGAGACCATTGATGATGTTTTGAAGTTAATATCTACTGGAGCTGTGCCTTGGATGCAGTTCGGAATCTGTGTCTACCAGGAGTAATAGCAAAAGAACTGGTTAGCTGTTGCAGGTCGGTACGAAGAACCTCCTCGCTGCTACCAGCCCGCACCCTAAAAGTATTAGCCGTGTGAAACACATCGAAACATGATTTCGCATTCTTATGTTGTGCCAACGAGGTCGCCTGCTAGATCTACCAGAAATGATGGTGCCGTATCTTGGCCTGAATCCTAAAGGTCAACCCAAACAAGGCTGGCACCCCACTCCAACTAAGGCCTGATCTGTTGGATCTAGCCAGGAAGCTGCAGGCAAAGAAGACACAATGGGGACATGTCCCCATTTTGGAAGCATGGTCTCTGAAGCAACCGTGGCGACACTTGCTTGCAACTAAACCATGCAACCTGGAAACTACCACCTATTGGTTCTATGTGTGCTTCGTTTTTTCAGGCAAAGTTCTTCCGGTGCCCCACAAGATTTGGGTTCCCTACGTTTGGGCCTTGGCTTTCCTGCACTATGACATTCTGTGGGCACATAAAGATTTAGTGAGGTTAACCTCGATGCAGCTGGCGATGTAGAGTCTGGTTGGCATGAGCACAGCATGTTCCTCCCTCACGAAGTGATGGGCTCCATCTACGACTTCGACCCTCAGCTGTTTCACAAGTTCTTCGGGAGACCAGAGGCCTGCGCGCAGAGATTCTTTGGGCATGGACAACTCTTGAGTGTGTTTTCGTGCTTTACTATGTGTGGTTCTAACTTTGTCCTAAACGACACAGGAGATCCGAGAATACTGCCAACACATGAGAATGTTCGCTTCGCATTGGTGGTCTAACCACCCAGCTGCTCGGCCTTGCAGATTTATGTTTTGCTTCCAGGTTCGTGCTCTATTCTGAGGCCCTTTGGGATGCAGAAGATTTCATCGTACCTGTACGATTGTACGGAGACGGAGCTGAAAGCTACCGAAACTTGCTGCATTATATCCGACTGTCCGAAGAGAGTTATATTGTGTCGCAAATTGATGATACGAGAGCTCTAGGTACTCAGAACTTCGAGATCTTCCTTTTACAGTCCGTGCTGGGGGAGGAGACATCTTGTATGAGTACTCGCTTCCTGTTCCCTGGACCAGACTATGCATTAGAACAGTTGAGTTCGTGTGCTTTCGAAGATTCGCCACAAGATTCATCTGAGGCTGAGCTGTATGTCTGGCAAATGTACTGATAAAGCAAGATGCTTGATCATGAAGACCATCGCCTGGTCGCTCGAAGTACTCAGCAGCTCCGTCCTCACCGGGGAAGAAGTGTCAGGCATCTACTTTGGTTGCTTTTCAGTTTTGTATCTGGGAGACCTTGTTTCGGGCCCATGCAAAGCTTGTTCGCACCCTGATTAAGGGAAACACCGAGCTTAGGTCAAGGAATATATCCTTCAAAAGATATGGATGGTGAGCTCTTGCAGGGCTCGCAAAGGGCAAAAGCCGGCCGCCGCATTTGTGGAGACTACAGGATCGTTCTGGATGCTTTCCAGATGGACCAAGAGTTCATCACGAAGTGTTTTCGGTTGCAGAGCTTCTCGTCTGTAACTTTAGGGTTTAGGGCTTAGGGTTTAGGGTCTAGGGTTTAGGGTTATTTAGCCAATGGCTCCCCATTTAGAGGCTAACTCTATGCTTTCAAATTAAGTGGTGTTTGCTATAGATAAACATAT